CCCCCCCCCCCCCCCCCCCAAGCTTTAGTAGATACTACATGTGCTAATTGAAGGCCCATACTTGGACCAACATCTTCTTGTATACGTTTGTAGGCCCCATTCTCTTTAAATATTGGTAATTAAAATGTCACGTTTAAAAAAAAAACAACCGAGTGCCCGTTTTCCTATGCGCCTGTCACCGTTCACGGGATGATCACCGTTTTCCGTACCCCTATGAGGACCGCCGCCGATTAGGGTTGGAAAAGCGACCGAAATCTTCAGGTTGGTTTCATTGTGTTTCTGTTTCCTCGTTTTGATCTCCGACTGTTCTGATTTTGGTTGGATCATGTGCGGCCTCGGTATTTGTTCACCGAGAATCATTCTTATGCCAATGAAACCCTACGCTTCATGCATCATCCCTTTGATAGGATCTTTCTTCCAAATATCCCATCATTTTGCTTTCAGACACTCTCTAGTTTGATACTTACATTGTAGGAAAGAGAGCTGTTAGTAGTTGGGATATGGTGTTAAGCGTGTTTTTTCTTCTCTTCTTAAGCTTCTAGAAAACTAGACATATTGTTGAGTGTCCTGTGTTCTCGAGACCGCCAGAATGGTAAGACTCAGAATTCTTCTCCTTCACACCATTGTAGATGACAATTAAGAAATCAGGGATACATACATACATATATATATATATATATGTACACGCGCATATGAACAGCCTCCGAAAAATGTGCTAGTCACTTCTTTAATTTTTATTTTTTTTGGACAGAATCAGTATATACATCCTAAGTATCTTACTTATCTTTAATGCCTCGTAGGCTCTCACAAACCTGATCAACAATGAAACCTATTTGCCAATTACTTACACTAACGATAGTCTAACGGATATGCTGGATATACTTAGCCTAAAAACATGCCATTCTTAGAATGCATGTTGTATGAGAAGTGAAACTGTAATGGATCTGGGTGTGGCTGCTGGTTATGAGTATGATGCTGATTTTTGAAATATCCTTTGCCCTGGTGCAAGCATTGCCAAGGGATCGTAAGTAAATTTTCTGCGGACAAAAGTTTCCCATCGGGTACCAAAATGGGCTCGCCATTCTTCCTTTGTGGTGTAGTGCGCCAGATACTGCTTCACCCCGAGACAAGCTGCTGCACAAAACTCTAGTATTTTCTGGTTCTGTTTCAAGATGTGTTCCAGATTATCCTTTCCTGAAGAGGAAGCAATTGCCGAGGAAAGGAATGCAACTAAGTAGAAAATTTCTTCTTCCGGTATTACAGCGGATGTTCCGTTGTCCCACCTGAAACAGAAAAAGATTGTCAACTAATTTGTGTAAACAAGGATAACGGTAGTGATGGAGATAACGAGTGACTGTGATTATGTTTACTTTGTCTTGTTCACTGGGTAGATGAGGATAGGACCGTTGCTTGTATCAGTTAGGATGTTGCCAAAGACACCTTCAGCAAAGGTATTTATCTTACTTCGTGGGACAAGTAGATTAAGCCACGGATGAGGAACTTCCCATAGCCCTTTGGATCGTAGTTCAATCTCAGACATGTGAACCCTATCCAAGAATTCTTCATATGTAACTTCTGATAGAAAAAGCGTTGATGAGATATAGCTGAGTTCAGATAGCGATTCGTTTACCTCCTGCATGTTTATTAGAAGAAAGATGTAAGTCCCATGGTTATCTCCCATACAATACTTAAATCCAAAATTTTCCTGTAATGTTACTTACCTGGTTGATTGCATCTTTCTTGTCCAGCTTGAAGTACTTGGCCAGTTCCAGGCAGTAGAGTCTCTTACCATCAGACTTGAAAAGACTGGCTTGCAATGGGTCTTGCGGTGTGAAGGATGACCTCCAGTTATTCAAGAGGCCAGTCCGGTTAATGATCACAAATCCTTCGACATAATCAAATTTGCTATCTGCGGAAATTAGACACTCTTGGTCCCTTGCAAATGCATTAAAATCCAGGTATAACACTCTAATCCATTTAACCTGTTCACAGTACAGAATTTCATAAGTTATAGCTGAATTGAGCATATGTTTTTATTACTTGTACCGCTTAAAACAACCAAATTTCGTTTACCATGATTGGTGCTGGCTCCAATGCTATTCTTGCCCGTGTTATGATGCCAAACTGGCCTAGTCCACCAAGGACTCCCCGGAACAAGTCGCTGTTCTGCTTCTCTGAACTGTTCACAACCTCCCCTTTTCCTGCACTTGATACCATCTTACTTATCAGTATGTATACAGCGACATTCTTTTTTTGAAGTTTATCTCGGTTTCAATTTTCAGCTCCGTCATTGTATAGCATTATCTGTTATTTGATGAACAGTGGGAACAAACTAGAAGAAGCTACCAGAGGATTAGTGGTTGTTTTTTAGTACGTCTTTTTCTCCTTCGGACTACATAAATAAAGTGATGAATCCTGGTGTCTCTTAAACTAACCCGTGACAACCTCCAGCTGGTGAACGTTGCTGATTTGTGGTCCATGCCGGAATGCCTGCCCGCTGATTCCAGCATTGGACAGAGTACCACCTACTGTTAAATGTAGGTAATCTGTCCATGATTTTGGTGTGAGTCCATACCTGAGGGTTTCACGTAAAATGTTTATCCACAGCTCACCACCAGACACATCAACGTATGGAGATTCCCCACCGTGTACATACATGTTTTGGTCCTTGAGTGATTCCATGTTAATCACAACTCCATGGTATGCTTGTGCTTGGCCCTGAAGTGAATGTCCATGACCTCTTGCTGCCACTGTAAGCTTGGAATGAGGACCCATCATCCAAATGTGTCTTATTGTTGAGGCAATGTCACTCACAGATTTTGGATGCAACACCGCTAAAGGAAGCAACTGGTATCTGTTGCCAAAATCTCTGGATGCATGATGGACGTCTTCAAACTCAAAGTGACCGTCAAGGTAAAGTGTCTTCAACGAAGAGATGCTGCGAGAGAAACAACAATCTGATGTGAAGGCTATGCAGCTCAGGAGTAAGATCACGAAACAACTTATTATAAGCAAGCTCCTTTTCCTGAGACAGCATGGATACATTTTACTTCTTTGCAATCTTGAATCCAAAGGTGAAAAGGGTCTGCTCTTTTATTTGCTGGTTCCTTGTGAGCAAAACTAAAATCTGGGGAATAAAAAGGGCTGAAGATGGCGATTTGAATGGCCGAGTCAACCAATATTTTTGTACCTAGAATCCGTATGGGGACTGTATACAAGGTCTAATTAGCTTTAGTGTTTTACTTTTTGGTATATGTGTTCTGTGAGAGAAGCCATCAAGCACATGCCAAGTTGAAGGAAAAAGTCACCAGAAAGAAAGATGCAGCATATCTTTGATCTTTTCACAACAGTTGCAGCCACAATCTTGCCTTTATGGAAGAAAAGGCAAACACGATCATGCCAAAACACTTCTGCTTTGAAACTTACCGTATGAAGGACGCTTTTAGGTAAATATTTATCCTCTTATCCCTCATTTATCCCATTTCAGTCGCAGGTGTGACACCTGCTTTTTGGATGTGTCAGGACTTAGCCATGGCGTATCTGCTTTTGGGTCAGATTAGAGGCAAAAGGGATTGGTATCTGATTCATCTTGGGAGGAAAAGGATGGTAAGCACTGAACCTGAGGGGTCCGACGTGGAATGGGGAGGCAAAGATGATCATGTTGGGACCCTCAACTTCAAGCGGGCCAATTTCCACATTCCAATGAAGGCAAACATAAAAATGAGGCTTTGACAGCTTAAGGGAAGCAACCAATGCATTACTCTTTCTGTTACTGAGTTTGAAGCATGCAGACAAAGTATGAATCATTTCACCTTTCCTAAATTCTTCTGATTATGAGACATAGTTAATGGTATAGCTGTGCCATACTTCAACTCTTTTTTAGGTCACCCAGCAGTTCGATAGCAAAGGGAGGCCTCAGCTCAAGACAAAATCATCTGATATTGTCTATTTAGCTTGGTAGGGGTTAATTTCTGCTTCCTGAGCATTTAGTTTGTTTTCCTGTCGACTCATACGGTAGCTTCCCCTTTTTTTTTTGTTACATGTATCGAGACAGAAAGATTTGTGTCGGGAACAGGGTCATCTTTGAGAGAACCAATGCAAGTACGGTGTCACTGACCAGATTCTAGAAATGGCAATTTACGAAGGGACTTGGTTCTTTTGTGCGTCTGGCTAGAGTGTATGATATGCTGAGGGATCTAACAGAAAAAGGAGAGAGAGAGAGACCGGTGACTGGGGGTGCCTACTTAAGCGTTAGATGGACGTTGTGGTAGTAGTGGGTCAGTGAGTGTGACCACACTGGTGATATGCGCCACTGTAAAGTTCACGTGCCTCTGAAATTTTGCAAGTCAAGTTGGTCTTTTTTTTATGGAGTTTCCACATCGCAGAGAAGTCATTAGGAGGGGGATAAGTGTGATGCTGAACCTGAATCCTAGTTCTTGTATGAAGAAAGGGTTTAATTAATGGAAACGAGAATTGGGGAGACATGGAGAAGACAGATTAACGGGAGAAAGGGTGAACTCGAGCAAGCAGGGTTACCTTCAGTAAAGTTCTAGAAGGAAACCGACACAAAGAAAGAGAGGGGGGGTGGGACAAGGGTTGTCGGCCGAGTGTGGAGCTGACAATGTCATCTGGACCCGAACTTGGAACATTTGTCAGCCAACGGATCCAAGGGACGGCGGAGGTGGGATCTCATCAACTTAAAAGAATCACTGTGTCGGCGGAAGACAATGATGGTGACGAGGATGCCCCCACCCTGCAGCCGTATTAGGCCAGTGGAGCTGCCACGCCTTCTTCTAATCCCGTGTTTTTGCCCCCCTTTTAAAAGCTTCCTTTTCTCCCTCTAGATTCTTTTTTTTAAGAGTAAAAATCCGAAAAAACTCCTAACTTAGTTAAAATATAGAAAAAAAATTAAATTTGAAAAGCTCGAACATATAATTTGATAGTCTAAAAAAACGTTGATCTGACCAAATTTTTAGGCGATCGGAAATTCACTTATTGCCGAATGCCGAATTATTGATGTGAACGATTTTAAATAAAAAAATATTTATACTTTATAAATATCTATGATATTTTTTATATCTCAATTTATATAATTTTTTATCCTATTAAACTCTATATCTATGATATTTAATAATAAAATACTTATACTTTACAAATAAATCTTAACATACAAAATTGACTAGTGATAAAACGATGACGTGACAATATTTTTGTCCAGATCATCTAAATTTAATTAAATTAAAAATATTAAATAATGAAAATTATATAATAAAAATACATATATATATATACACATACATATGTACATATACATTTTTACTTTTTCAAAACAAATCAAATAACTACATTTATTATCCCACATACAAACACACACGAATACACATTCTACTCGATTTTGTAGGACTACAAAACCCAAGTTTGCAATAAATTTTTCGGATTTCAACACAAGTTTATCCAATAAAAATTGTAATTAACTACACATATACATAACCATAAACGGCTCCATATATATCCTTTTCTTCATACCTTCTTGTTCTTTTTCTTTTAATTATCAAGAGGTTCATTTTGGACCTTCGACCCACTAAATAACTTTGAGTTCGGAGTCAGTCTTTAGTCATGTAATTAATTACGCCCATTCTCTCCACTAATGGAATCGAACCTAGAATCTTAAAGTCACTTTTCAACTATTGAACCACCACTAATGGGTGTTCTCGTTCTTCTTCTTTCTTCAACTTCTACAAATTTTCTGGCATTTTCTCTTCTCCAGTATTTGATGAATTTTGAATCACATAAAACCAATATACATATATACACATATATATAAATATATATACGCATATATATATATACATATATACACATACATATATATACATATACATACATATATATATATATGTATATATACGTGTATGTATATTTATATATATATGTTTATATAATTTTTATTTTTTAGTATTATTATATTTTTTAAATATTTTTTATTATTTAATATTGTTAAAATATATGTGGTAGATGACGTGTTGGATGATTAGGACAAAAATATTGTCACATCATCTTTTTTATCAAAGTTGTCCAGTCAAGTTTACATATAGATTTATTTACCAATTTTTTTTTTTAAAAAAAAAGAAAATATAGAGTTATATTTTTAGAATTTTTCCTAAAATAAATTCTTAACAGGAGTTGCATCTAGTCAGTGGTAAGAAAAGTCGAAGATGACATGTTCTCTTTCATCCTATCCTTTTTTTTTTTTTTAATTGTGAAAGACTTCATTGAACATAATTGTTTCTCGGTGAAAAAGGGGATAGATTATTTGTATTTTATCAAAGAAATCCCACGAGTTGCCACGCTATGCATCCTGATCCTGTTCATAAGAAATTATATGCATATTGTATTTTATAGATGAAACCTTTTGATTGATAGATGTTGCAAAACTTCACACCAAAAAAAGGGTGGTGCACAAGGTTTTAGTCATGATATAAAGTGTCTCCATTGTTGGGGTTATAAATATTCAGTTCGCATGCAGAATGAATTGTTACCGTTGGATAGGAATCCAACAAATTATGAGTAAAATGTTGTATGGACGTGTTCAAAGGATGTGCAGAGAAACATCACGTCTTGGAGTTCAAGTTCCCACCAGTAATGAAATAATGTAATGTATTGATATTATTCTAAGTGAGCCCATTACCAAACATAATGGGCTTTTCTAGTGTCCGATGCCCCCCGTACGTACTGTCGATGGCCGTAATTCATATATTTTTTCCGTCGACGTGCCACTTTGCGAGATCCTCATTCCCCGGTTCTCTCTCTCAGATCATGTATAAATACATCTCATCTCAACAGGCAACCGGAGAAATCGAACCAGACTCTACTCTGCCGTCCCCGTAGCCTTCAACTGATGTCTTCATGGTTTTACGTTGCTGGCTTTCCCCAAAAGTCAGAATTAAATGAATATAACAACCTTATGAGTATGGAAAGCATTCCATACATTCTATGTAGTCACGCAATGAACACACTCTAACTACCACCGCAAATCCCATGGCATCAACTCAAAGGGGAGCCGTAAAAGCAACAACTCTAAAGGAAGACAGCAAAAAAACTCAGAAAACAAGACCGTACTCCCCATTGCCCTTTGTAACTATAAGTAAATGTCAAGTAATCAGAATACAAGAGCATCTTTACATTTTAATGGGATCAAGACAAGTTGAAAGAATCACGTGTGATAATCTCTCAATACCTCATGAAGACAGAAATATATATGTTGAAGATGAGTTTGTAGGATCAAAGGATGAGGCATCGGCAGCCTTGTGCTCCATTGGGTCCTTCAAACCATCGGTCCCACGCCATGTTGAAAGGGCCATTTGTTCTGCCAAAATAAGATTGATCGAATTCAGATAATGTAATGAAGATGCCCCAAGTAAGCGTAAGAGTTTTGAGAGTAGTAGATTAAGGGGTTACAGCGGCAGCAAAGGGTCAGGGATGGCCTCAATGGCACTGAACAACCTGATGTTAACCACGGAAACTCTATCAATTATGTGCTCCCAATCGGATGGTTAGGTTAAAAGCCCCAATTGCACATGACTTACAATTCTCACTTACTCCTCACACACAGTTGACACCATATCTGTCTGCTCAAGCTCTTCCAACTCTTTCTGGAAATAATGGAAAAGGAGAGATAGTTCTCAACTGTTGGGTAACTTGGAATAAGAAATGGAAGGCGTCTGAGAACAATTGGATTTACAAAGGATGCATCAGATCATATGGATTCCAAATTTTGTATCGAGTCGGCCATGTAACACAGGCACAAGAGAAATTCCACTAGCAACTTTCAAAGGTAACTGGAAAAGTCATCGCTTTTAAGAATCTTGATTGCTTGGGTCCATCTCAGGAAAATAACTCTAGAAAATGGCTGAACCACGATTGTGAGTCCTACATTCAGTAGCTTAGTGGGATCGAGAGGTAATCGCTAATCAGAAACATTTATCCTCGAAAACCCACAAGAAATACCATTGGAAACAAACGAACTAGAAGAGAGAAGGTACCTCCAAGAAGGCGAGTTCCTGCTCGACGCGGGCGAGTTCGGCGAGGATCCTGTGCTTGCCTCCTCCTCCTCCTGCAGAAACAGCGGATATCTCCATTTCCTCTGCCATGATCTCCCTTTCACATTATCCTTCTCAGTGAAATCTCGCAGATCTGACACACTCTGGGCGTCCAGACAAATTTCAATTTTCTTCCTCTCAATGTGAAAAAGACGCCCCTTATTAGTTACCCGACCCGACCCGACAAAACAATGGGCTTTCTTCTTCTCACGGGCTTATGAGCCCATACATCGTTCCTACTCGCATTTCCTTTAAACCAAAAAAATGTGACGAGGTTTTCCAACAAAAATTTTGGTCTTCTACTTTAATTATTTGTCAAAAAAGGAAGAAAAAAAAGACCTGGCTCTTTGGCAGTTACATGTCATTGTCCCCTTGTTTACTGCGGATAAGCATCTTAGCTTCATCGGATCTCCTCAACCAATCTCCGTACTTCCGACGACCCAGTTCGGAATTCCCCGTTTTTCCATCTGGGTTCGCCAATTATGGCTTCTTCGATGCTGAATGGGGTCGTAATCTTCCCCAAGGGATTAGGGTTAGGCTTTTCCGGTTCGAAATTGCAGGGCAGACAGATCCCTCAGCCCGGTCTGGTCTCCATGTCCCGAACCACCAGAGCGAGAACCTCGGCGGCACCCAGATGCAGTTTGTCGGCGTCGCGGCCATCGGCGCAGCCTAGGTTCATACAGCACAAGAAGGAAGCGTTCTGGTTCTATAGGTTTCTGTCGGTCGTATACGACCACATCATAAACCCAGGCCACTGGACGGAGGACATGAGGGACGACGC